GGGGTAGTTTTTTGTTGCTTTTGTTGATAATCGACTTCCTCCTAAATAAGTAAGGGGTTGGTGGGTATAACACCTATAATATACTCTGTAAAGCTATGGGCTAGTGTAAAATACACATTCCAATGCAAAAACTATAAATGTAGACATAGCCTTTTGATATAGCACACAGTATTCATTACATTTCTTCATTCTGGTTTTACTCCACCCTTTTACTCAATTCTGAGTATATTTTTTACAGAATTTAATGTGAAAATCAGAACATTATCATTTTTGTAACGTCTTTTTATACTGTATCATATGAAAAGTTAATTGAAGATCATTTCTTTTTATGTCCCCATAATCGAAGATTCGGGGGGTACATAATTTTATCGTGTCCGTCTGTATGTCTGTCTGTCTATCTTGCGGTTTGTTTGTCCGCAAAAACTTTAACCTTAACCATAACTTTTCATTTATTGGAGCTATGACTTTCATATTTTATATGTGTATTCCTTGGGACAAGACCTTACTTTGGGTACCACCAAATTTGACCTTTTGATCTTTACCTTGGAGTTTGTCCCATTTTACACAAAAATGCCAATTTTTTTACTTTGGCCATAACTTTTAAACGGTAGATACTAGTACTCTCATACTTCACATATGTATTTTTTTGGCATGACCTTTCATTGGATACTAAAAACTTTTACCTTTTGACCTTGACCTTGGAGATTTCCGTACTTATGAAAAAAACCTTTTTTAACCTTGGCCATAATTTTTGAACGGTAAGGGCTATCGTGTTTTCAAACTTCACACATGTAATCCTTGTTACATTAAACCTTTCTTAAGAAACCATCAACTTTGACCCTTTGACCTTTGATTTTGACCTACCTTTCAAAAACGTATCCTTAGCCATTACTTTTGAACAAGTGGTGCTAGGGCTTTCCTTTTTTGCAACTGTATTTCTTGTGAGAAGACCCTACTTTGGGTATACCAATATATTTAAATTGCATTTAAGAAAAGTTTAATCGTCGCTATGTTGCCATATAGGGGCATTGCTGTTTCACAAACATATCTTTTTATATATCAGAGGAGTTGCGGTTAAGAGATGGATACCCAAAAGCGTAACAGACGGACATCTCGAATACTATATACCCTCCCGCTTTTCAAGCGGAGGATATAATAATATATATTACTGCTGATTTTTTCTGTCAGTACGATGATTTCCACCATCGAAAAACAATGTTTACCTAACCCTTTAGGCTCGATAAATCTTTTACTCCTTTAGATTCTGAATCATCGCATTTACCTTAAAATAAAGCTTTAATTGTGTAATGTTATGAGATCAACATATCATCAATTTATTCCCAATTAGCTCAGGTGAGCATTCTGGCCAATATGCTTCTTTATCTAATTTTTTTTTTTTGCCAGCTAAAAAATTCAGCTTAAATCCACAGGGAGTCATTTTTCTACGGGGGTCATTTTTCTTCACGTGGGTTCTGCAAATTTTGAGGTTGGTGACACTTTTTCTACGGGCAAAAGGGTCATTTTTCGACGTCGAATAATGACCGGGGGTCATTTTTCGCTGTCGAAAAATGACCCCCGGTCATTATTCGATGGGGGTCATTATTCGTCTTTACACCGGCAAAGCCTATTTTAGTATTACTTTTTTTTAATTCTCAGAATTGAAGCTTGACACATTATAATTTAATATCATCTTCGAAGTACTTATGTGCACAATTTAGAGTTCTTTTTAATCAAATAAATTTGCAGTAACCAATGACAACTTATGTTTATTCAGGAGTTATATAGAAAATGAAGCAGGCTTTTTTCAGTTGTGGGTCTTATTGTTGCAAACAGTATTTTTTTTTTTGAGTTTTGTTTTTAAGTAACAATTTCATTTACTTTTGAAATATATTAATTGTTGCACAATAGTCCTTAATCTTAACATCACTGTGAAAGCTTATTAGGAGTAAAGAGTGTGGCTTCGTAGAATATTTTCTGGAATCCACTATCTTTCTGTTTATGGGGATTTTTATGGATATCACTCATGACCTGGACATAACTAAAGAAACTTTGGGCCTCAGAGCTTAGCCGAGTATCTTTTTTCTTCTACTCAAATGTAAAGATCAACGAAACATTTACATTGGCTATCAGTGTGAAATACATGATTTGACCAATTTAAATATAGAGCGGAAGAACACTTGTTTTAGTATTTATACATTCAAATCCCCTTATTTGGCGTCACTCTGGCTCTTTGATTTTTTTTCCTGTCAAAGATTTTGGATTAATTAAAGTGCCGCGAGCCCACTGGTCATTCTTTAAATAAATGGGTGATTTCATCACCATGTACGTACATTGCAATAAACATTAAGATAATTTTTAAAAAAATTTTAATCCCCTTGTTGTAATTCTCATAATGGAGCCGTACATTAGACAGAAAATCAATTATTCAATTTTAACAAATGTTAAACTTCATAGAAATGTTTTAATCAAGTATGCTCTTTTCCTTTCCACGGGTGTTGAGGAGAAGAAAAGAGGAATTTAATCATACACTATGAAAAGAGTATGAGCAACAAACCACAAACAACTTCTATGATGTAATAAATTCAAGATGATGTATCCGACGTGAAAAAAAAATCCATGATTTTCTGAATAACCATTTCAAATCAGTAAATATTCTAAATTTATTTTTTATTGAAGAAGTAGTTGCCTGTGATATCAAAAATAATTAGTTTTAATTAATTTTAAAGAATGATTGTTTAAAGTGTAGAAAAGTTCTTTAGTTTTGACATTTGAAAAAGAGGAAAATTTAATTTATTTTAATTATTCTTTGGATTTTTTGAAAGTCTATATCTGATTCAAATAATACATTAATTTTTCTAAGTTATTTCTCTTATCAGAGATTGGGATCTTACGGATGACACTCGGAATATATTTGTAAAATTTAGAGAACATTTCACCAAGATAATTAAAGATGCCCTCGTGCAACGATAAAAAATGGACGTAAGTGGTAAAGATTAAAACTGTAAAGAATATTTCAAAGTAAAAAATTCTTCAAAATCGTATATCAGTTTTGAATATTTTTAAGATCCCAAAGAACCAAAATGAATCTGAACTACCAGATCTATACAGGATTCCAAAACTTCAAAAAAAAAAATCTTACAAACAAAGATACATAGTGGGTTCCAGTAAATGTTCAACCAAGCCTCTTTCTTTACTCCTCACAAAGAAATTAAAAGTAGTGAAGAAGAAATTTCAAGAGTCTTGTGCATCAATATATTCAAATAGTGGTATAAATCAGATGTGGATAGTTAAAAAAATCCAAGGAACTTTTTTGGACAATTTGAAAGCACAAGATTTTACCAAAAGCAACAGTTTTTAAACATTGTACGACTTTTCAACTATATACACAACCATTCTCAACGATAAAAATTAAAATCCAGGCTTTATGATATCATTGCCAACAGCCTGAGTTTCTGATTGACAATATCTATGTGATTTTTAAAGACTAGATCTTCCAATAATCTATATTTGGATCCCATGGGTACCAATTGTGCTCGATTATTAGAAGACTAATTTTTGTCCAAGATCTTAACGTGAAAAGAAGAAAACACTTGTTGTGTCCTTCAAGTCAACATTTAGATATATCGACGACGTACTGTAAATTAACAATGGTGACTTCCATTCTTATGTCGATACGATATATCCCGCTGAGCTTGAGATAAAAGATACCACAAAGTCTGACACACCTGTTTCATACTTGAATATTTATCTTGAAAAAGCGGCAATCGTTATCTAACATTCAAGCTTTATTATAAACGAGATGACTTTAACTTTCCAATCAACTCACTCACTTATGCAGCAATATACCTTCATCGCCTGCCTATGAAATTTATATATCTCATTTGAATTGATACACAAGAGCATGCAATTCTAAAACGAGGTATATTATTGACAAACAAGTTGATGAAACAAGAATATCAGCAGTCCCGTTTAAAGTCGTCATTTCGTAATTTTATGTTCGACACAATGATCTTGTCAGTAAATACAATTTATCATTGAGTCAAATGCTGACTGACGTTTTTCATACTAATTATTAGTCCATTATTCATACACTGAATTGACGACAGAATTTCCTGTAATTTCCCGATCATAACAAGGAGCACAAAGCGTTTGTGACCGATCGGCAGAGGATGCTCACTCTTCCTTGGCACCTGATCCAACCTCTCATGTATTGGAGATCCATGTTTACTCCGTCCCTATTTTGTATTGTTTATTGGACTTTTCATCTTTAATAGTGTTCGTTATTTCCATATACTTCATATGGTATTATAAAATATGGAATATTTTCATGCTTACGAATCTTTTGATCAAGTAACCAGGCATTAGAGATACTGTCGTTATCTTCGTGTTTCGTCTCCAATCAACAAGTGCGGTTTTGTTCAAGAAATATACCGGTATTTTAGGAAGTAATAAAATAAAATAAAAAAATGTAGTAATATAATAAGATAACATTATAAGATCTCCAACCTTATGGTAGTTACAAAAGCCACTAAAGTAAGAACCAGGATTAAACAGAGTGAGTCATAAAAGTATACTCAAGCTATATACGTATAATAGTACTTTTGATTAAAGATTAACAGTTGCTAGTGATTAAGTCTATTTCCTGGCATATTGCTCTTTGAAACTTGGAATTGAAAATTAACTAAACCAAATCTATTTATTTATGAAAAACATTGAATTCATTAATTGATTTAGAAAACTACTTCCGTAATCTATATTGTATGTCCGGGAATAAATAGTTTAATGCAACAATATTTCAACAACTGCAATGTGTATCTCAGCTTCCTTGTAAAATATTGGGATATCTAAATGTTGATCTCTCTCTCTCTCTCTCTCTCTCTCTCTCTCTCTCTCTCTCTCTCTCTCTCTCTCTCTCTCTCTCCTTTGAAAGCTACAAAGCATGATGAGTGATTACCATACTTGTTCTATGCACACAAAAAATTGGCTTAAAAATGTCCTACCTGGAATTGCCAGAGAAGTGAGTGGATTCGATATCAAGGGTGTAGGTAAAAGGGCCATCCAGTCTGCAAGGCCAGACGTAGCAGATCCAAGTTTCCTGTAACTGGCCATCAAAAATATCAGTCAGCACATGTGGATCCTTTTTGAGTTATCGACTCACTTTGAAACATCATCAAGCAGCTAACTTTTCAGAGAAGTGAAAAGTCCTGTCATAGCGACATCAAGAGCGGACTTCCGCAGCCTGATAAACTCTCACTTGAACATCCGATGTACTTTGTGGTATGTCATACGTACGTTAGAAAACGCCACTGGACTGAAAACCCCTAATATTTCCTACATGCAAAATTGAAATAAAATGGATGCAAACCACGTGATGTAAAAAAAAAATTGGCAAGAACCTGACATCTGATGATGGAAAACAAAATATGTACTTGGTCAATTACGCTGGATCGTTTTTTGAAAGTGGGGGTGGCTATCCGAGAATAAAAAATTCAACTTTCATATATAATAAAAAAGGAGGTCTTAGGGCCTTATAGGTCACCCGAGCACCATGTACAAACTTTCCAACGATTGACTTTGGTTCAAGTTTTAAACCAGAGGTCATGACATTAACAATTTTAAAAGAAGCATCATAGTTCATCGTAACTAAATACTTATCATGCTTAGTTTTGTTTCCTAATACTCATACGCAGAGTAGAGGATCAAAAAAGATGCATTTCAACTAATCAGTAAGGATCAGCAATTATCAGTAGTGCACCTTCGCCACAGGTACCCCTCACCCTGGGATCACACATTTAACAATTTTGGAAAAGGCACCCTTGCTCATCATAAATGTTTGATTAATACCAAGAAGTAGATTTCAAAGCAAAAATTCATTTTTGGTAGATGATTAGAACCCCCCCCCCCCCATTTACGGTACCACCAACACAGGCGAATTGACGCTCAACATTCCTGGAGTAACACTAACATTATGGGTATTTCATTTGCTAAATATGCAGGAGCAGAAGAGATGATTTGCAAAGAATTCATGCATTTTATGATATAATTTAAATAACCCTGTCCTAATACCAAAACCTCTGACCCTGGGGTCATGAAATTCACAATTTTGGAAGAGATTGTTCATAGAAATAATGAAGATGCTCTTGTGTTTCAAGTCAGCACGGAGAACTAAACTTATAAGATCAAATAATAAAATTATTAACGTTCATTCCTTTCAACAGTTTATACAATTCCCTTCTACAAAATTGAAATCCAGGCTTTTTTACATTAATTAATATTCCAATATACAAATGGAATTCGTAAATTAATATACATGTATTTTACTTTGTCATTGGTCTGTTGCAGAATTATGGTATTTTGTTAAGAAAATTCCGACTGTACACACAAGTACTCAGATGTTGAACAAAAAACACTTGAGTTTCTGATTGACAATATCTATATGGTTTTAGGAGATTACATGTGTAGGTCCTCCAACAATCTGTTTAAATTCCAATGGAGTACCAATTAATTGCACCCCGTTATTTGCAAACCAATTTTTGTATACGAGGCGCGAAATAATTGGGTAACTTCCTTAAAAGAAACAATATTTGGTTTCAGTGTTGATTATATTTTAAATTAGTCCTCTCTGATTTTAAGGCACATCTGCCACCGTTCTGCTCATTCGCGAATTACGTGAGAAAGGCGGTCACGTGACCCCCTTCGTAGCGTTATGTCACAAAAGCTGAAAGATTTTTCTGAGTTTTATATTTCTTTCCATGTAAGTTAATCTTTATAACAAGAACAGGTCATTTTTCAGAAACTGTCAAATCTCGGCAACAGGATGGGTAGATAAAAATATCCTCTCCAAAAATAAACATGACGACCATCAAAACCCAAATCTACCGTCTCGGGAGAGACCTTTATAAACCATATAATTCGGGGTACTACTTTTCAAATATAGAATATGTTTCAAAAATTTTAAATGAACACGTTCAATAATATCTAAGTTTTCAAAACCCCAGATTTCACAACCATAAAGTAACACTGGTAAAACCATTTTATCGGTGGACACTAGAGAAGGAGTCTTATTTGCCTCCTTTTTATCATATCTAATAGTGCCTCCTTTTTATCATATCTAATATGTTTAAAATCTACGCTAAACGATAGGTATTAAATAATTGATATATTATTGATAAAATATTCAACTATTTTTTTAAGTGTAAATTGGAGGTCTTTGATAGCAAATTGCTTAATTAAAAACACATCTCTTTTCTAACCTGCTTTCACTGGGCAGCATAACAAATATCATTTTTAACCATCTAGCTGTGGCCTTCAATTCGACATTTATATACATGTATATCGACGACGTATTTTTAATTAACAATAGTTACTTCCATTCATATATTTGGTACGATATTTCCCGGTGACCTTGAAATAAAAGATACATCTCCCCGTTTCATATTTGTTGGATATTTTAATTACTAGAAGAAGACGTTCATGTAATCTAACTACAAAGATTCATGATAAACGTGAGGGATTATCCTTTCAATCGTCAACTTCCCTTATTATGTATAATAATATACCTATATGTATCACTTGTGTACATAGTCTACATCTCAGTTGATTCTATGTGCAAGAACATACTCTCTGTGTGAATAATTTTTAAAGCAACGCAAGCTATTTACAAATAAGTTGATGAAACAAGAATATCAATAGTCTTGTTTAATTTCATCATTTCTTAAGTTCTATGGGTTAATACAATGTCCTTGTCAGCAAATACAATTTATCACCGAGTCAAATGCTGACTGAAGTTTTTCATACTAATTGTACATGTCATACTTGATTGCCGTCGATCTTTTTTCTCTCCATTTTTCGTATTTTTTTTTTTCGATCAGGCGCACATGGCGGGTGTGACTGGTCGGCAGGAGATGCTTACTCTTCCACCTCTAATGCTTTGGGGGTCCGTGTCTGCTCTGTTTCCGATTTGTTTTGTATGAATGGACTTTAATACTGTTCGATATCTACATATTTCTTTGAATTATTTCCTACATAACTAAGGGAAGCTGGCAAAGAAAAGTCGCTGTTTTTATAGATTGCCATTAATGTTCTTTTTAGTATAGAAGATTGGGGGATAGGGCGAAGTGCCTATAGTGCGACAGATAAGAAGTGAAAAATTAAATCTTTATTAAATTAATACTTAATACACAACAGGATTGTCACTTTTCCTAAGAATTAAGAATAAAATTAAAATTAGTGAAAGTGGAAGGCTGTGTCAATCAAACACATCCAAAAATTTGAAGTTTCCATGACTTATAGACAAAATAAGATTTTTAATGCATTTTCGTATGAAATACTATTACAATGTATGTCGCGATATTATACAGAAAATATTAACTTCAAATCTGTGTCTCTGCATCTTTAAATACCGTTTGTTATCTCCATATGTATATATCATTGTAAGTGTAAGAGGGATAACCCTGACAAAATCATCAGACCATGACAAGATGCGACTAGTGAAGATTCCTATGACATTTTTTTTTTCAAATTTGAGTTGCTGCATGTGTTGAACTGTTACTGATATAATTAAATGAAAGTCAATGCTGACGGAATAATTGAACAGCTGAGGGTAATTCAACGCTATATGCACCGGCCATTTTATACCAAAGAAATACAAAATACAAAAAAAATAAAATACAATTTATTTTATGTTCTCTTTAGTTAAAGTTTCAAAATTCGTATATGAGGTAATGTTTCTAGGTAATCAAGAACAACGATTGGATGACTTTAGAACTTTAAACTTTTATTTAAAGAAATCATTTCAACAAATAAACAGAATTAATTGAATTTGCACTACATGGAAAACAGCACCAAACATACATTTACAGTGCAAATTCATTTTAAATGGTACAAATATCAAGTACTATAATCTAACCAAAATAAGGATAATGGTGGCTTTATTGATATGCCGGTATCTAAAGCAGCAAATTAGGGGCAGACAAATCTATTGTCATATGCTAAAATTAAGAACTTTTCCATTTCCTACAATTCTTATCATTAAAATTGTATTAGTTTTACTTTTAAGCCATAAAAAATGTCATTTTGTGTTTTAAAAATCATATATACATTTACACCCTGCAGAGAATAGCTCTTTAGAGTGAACTCGATTATAATCCGATAGTATTTCATACTAAAATCATAATTATAGTATAACAACACAGTAAGACTGTCCTAAAAACTTATACAACTAATACATATCAAATATGTAAGAACAGTACCTTGTTACACTAAAATAGTTTATTTCCCTGTTAAAATACTGAAACTAATTATCATATGCCACAATAATCTATACTGTGCTGTCTGGGTGTAATCATATTCAAATCAGATCATTTGATCTGCTAATACAGATAGTTATACACGGTAGCGATCTATGTGAGCAGATCAATGGATCTGATTTTAGCCAAAACGTGTTGGGTGATATTTAACTAAAAAGGAATTATTTTCAACAAAATTAATGAAATTTACTTGTCAGCTTCAAGAAAAAAATTAAGTAAAACTGTTTCGGTTAGACAAACAGGTCATTTAACAAAACAACACTCCTAATAAATATTATAGAAATTGAATCAGGATATGTGAGTATGAATCATTTAAAGTTCTCTTACTTTTGGCAATTAAAAGAAATATTTCTATTAGTGTTCATGAAAAGAAACTGATATCATCAGCTATAAGAAAAGCCTTAAAAGTTGTGATTACTAAAAAAAAATTCTCTCGTTTTCAATTTTATTGTAGAAACTATATTTAATTTAAGATAAATTTGTGTTTTTATCTTATACCGGTAACTGGTTCAGTAAGTCAATGAATCATGCCAGTCAAGAAAAAGGTCAATGATAAAAGATACTGTTACTCAATATCTCTGCTATTTTTTATGTTTAATGGTTGCATCAAATAATCTATGATAAAAATCAATTCATACTGAAAAATGCACTTAGGCTGATGTAATCATTCCTTACTTTCAAATATGATATAAATAAATTTTCATCACATAAAAGTTTTAAGTCCAACAAAGATGCAAAGAAAATTCCCTAAAACATAAAAATAATCGTTAAATGCATTCATAACAATAATCTATGAAAAGCAAAGAAAAGAAAGGGTAAAAAAAATTGGGAATTTGTTCATATTTAAATTATTATTTTAAGTACATGTTATTTGCTGTCTTATTATTTTTATGTCGTACTGGGGTATACAGGTATTTTAAACTATAATTTCTAGAGCATTAAAATATTTCAAAAACACATCATTCCTCCTAAATACATGTACCTTTTACCCTTTAAATA